GAGACAAGCTTACCGAACAGGTGGCCACACAACACCGTTCTGGAGCGCGACATTCGCGAAGAGAAGGAATGCTGCCGCAGCATCCACATGCAATCAGGGTTGCCCTATTCGTTGCATACGTTTAGTTACCCATTTGCATGTCTCTCCATGTCGTTCGACAGGCCTGCACCATTCAGCCCAGGGAAAACCCAATGGGAAGCCCTCACCAAGAAAAAGTTCCAAGGTAAGAGATGCTGTTTCGGGCAATTGGTTTGGTATAGAACCAAGACTCCTGGCAAGCTCACTCTCGATCCGAACATGGCGCCTGCGCTCTTTTTGGGTTGGAGGGTCGATCCGGGGTTGCGGTACCGTAACGTGGTCAAGGTCATGGACTATGAAGCCTTCCGCAAAGATGGTTCCATTTCCGTTCACGATGTTCCCGAACCGGAATTGTTCGTTGAAGACGGACACCCAAGCTTTCCGATTGCAGCAGCAGCAGATAGAGCATTGCATGGTGGCAAGACAGAAGGGTCTGATCCCCCACCTATGCCCCTGCGAGAGGCGCCCTTTGGTGCCCCACGGACTCCATCCGCTGTCAAGTCAAAATCCGTGTACATAACTGTTGAGAGGATCATCAAGTTCAAGGAAACGCCAGGTTGCCGTGCTTGCACCGGTCATTCCAAGATTCACAGTGCCGAATGTAAGAAGAGGCTCTCCGAACTTGTTTCTGCAGATCGAGCTGAAGCAGCTGCAAAAAGCGCTGCCAAAACTGAATCTAAGGAACCCATTCCCATTGTTCATACTGAAGGGGATGAGGAGCTAGCTAGAGCAATCCACGCATCCGAGCATGGAGAGGATCCTAAGCCCGCAGTTAGTGCAGAAGACGTTGCGCATGAATTTGATGCAGCCGAAGCTGGGGAGCCCGCTCCCTCAAGACCCGGTGGCTCATTTTTCGATACCGCGCCAGCGACAGCCGCTACATCGCAAGGTGAAGATTTTTGGGTGTTCAAAGAAAATGCCAACTGTTTGGTTCGATACCATATCATGCCAAGGCAGAATCTTTTTACCCCAAAAGAGGTCGAGGATTGCCCCGTTTCCCCAGAAAGATTTACTGCAGCTCGCACCACTCGTGCCGTGTTTCAGGGGGGCAAAGCAGACAACATCCACGATGGTTGGTTTGGTAGCCGACCCAATCGCTCACTTGGAGGCGCATGGACCGGGTTCACAGTGTTCAAGTTAAAACCCATTCAGTCCGATTGTGTTATCACCACAGGTGCAGCCGTGATGTTAGACTCCGTACCGCCGACACCTCTCACCGAAGCGTCAAAGAACGGTCGTCCGAACACATTGCCAATTTTTGGCATGCCATGCAGCGCAGAGGTTGAAGCTCCACAGCGCAAGCATTTTGAGGTTGGAAATCATCGTGCCCGCAAGAAACAGGCACGTATTGACAAGTTGCCTGTGATGTTCGAATACGCATGTTCACCAGAGTCCAACATGGGTCGCGTGTTTGAAGGTCTTGGCATACCTCATGTTAGGCTGGCTAAAGAGTTTATCGACCTTAGCACAGATGAAGGAGAAATCCAGTTGCAGTCGCAGATTGAAGGTTGTGATAAACCCAATCTCTGGGCCGCAATTCCCTGTACGTCAGGTTCAGCATGGCAACGCCTTAATAAGGCCAAGTTAGGAAGCCAGTTCAAAAAGAAACTGAAGCAAAAGGTTAGAGAGTCAAGAGAGTTGTTCTCCAGATTCAGACGTCACGCAGAGACTGTCCTCCATCAGGGGGGTAGTGTTTCGTTTGAATGGCCAAGGGATTGCGACAGCTGGGCTAGGGATGATGTTTCTGCATTCTTTAGAGAATATGCACACGTCTTCACCCCAGCGACCTTCCATGGTTGCGCCCTAGGCCTGAAGGACAGCAATGGCTATCCCATCAAAAAGCCATGGAAAGTCATGACCAGCAATAGCACACTCGCCTCCGCACTAGGTGCATTCAAGTGTCCGCACGAAAAAGGGTATAAGCATTCGCTTGCAGCAGGTAACAAGACCGCAAAGACCGCTTTCTACCCCGAAGGCATGTGTCTCACAGTTGCCCGTGCGCTGTATCCGACAGTTCAACCCGTTGTGCCTGCGATGCCTGTCCAAGTGCCATTGCCTCTCGATCACCGGGAACGTGAACAGCAGTTGAAGCACATATCCCCTCTCTCCGGTTTGGAAGATATAGGTGTTGCTGTTGAGTCAGATGAAAAGTGTCACAACATTCTTGAGCAAGTTCTTGATGTTGAAAATCTCATCGCACATTCCCTAGGACAAGTCAAGAGAAGAAGGATCCTGAGATCACCGCAATGGTGACCAGACTCTTGTCACGTGCCGAAATGTTGGCTTCCCCGGAAGCTCTTGAAGCCGTTCGACTTGAAGCCACAGGCCTGGAGAAAGCCGGTGCTTGGGATCTAAATTCAGTCCGAGAGTATGATCAAGTCGCTGCTGAGGCGCGACGATCCAGTATAAAAGTCCATTTCGGGCAGTTGATGTCGCTAGCATCCGTCAAGTTCGCCGAACTCGCGAAACACCTTCAAAAGATGAAAGGTAGGATTGTGTATCGCGGAGACTGTGCGAAAGACGAACATGGCGCAGCAGCTGTCTACCAAGAGTTGGGAGCAAATCCCACGAGCGTACAAGGTCTTAATAACTGTCTCGCTTATGGATCCCTGCCAGGGAATTCCACCACAACAGCGGACGCTATAAAGGCTTATGTGCAAGCACTGCTGAAGTCCAAGTACCAAACTTGGATCACACTCCCGCCTGAGCTCCGGCCAAGGTGGTGGCGCGAGCGTTTCGTGAAACCTGTGGTTTTGCTCGTTAAAGCTCTTTATGGGCATCCTGACGCTGGCGGACTCTGGGAGGCACACCTCAAAGGGTTCATTAGTGAACTTGGAGGGCGTGAGGTCGCAGAGTTTCCTGGAAACTTCTGGTTCAAGGAGTCCGGGTTACTTCTCTCGACATACGTCGACGACTTGACGTTGGCCGGCCCCAGCCACCTTCATAAAGACTTCTGGGAAAAGTTAACAAGACTGGTTGATATAGAACCCCCAGAAGACATATATCGGGTGCTAGGCAGGAATCACCTTTTGATAGATGCTCCAAAGGACCCAACTGAACCCGATCTTAATGCCGCAATGGGCAGATTGAAAGGGGGCATGGCGTTCGACATGCGGGATTATGCCCGTCAAACGGTGGCATTATATCTTGAGGTTGCACAGCTAAAAAGTGAAAAGTTGCGTGATGCCACCACTCCATTCTGTCCTGCTGGATCCCTCGATCCTGCAGATGACGCCTTGGAGGGTGAGCTCGGCTTCGCCGCTTGCCGCGTGTTGATGAAAGCCTTATGGCTCGGCCGTTTGGCACGCCCAGACCTGGTCAAGCCCATTGGCGACCTTGCCTCATTTGTTCAAAAATGGTCTAGAAACTGCGATAAGCAGCTACATAGGCTTGTTTGCTACATAAACAGCACGGTCAACAGCACGCTAGTAGGCACAGTTCAAGATTCGACTGAGGATTTGCATCTGTCTCTTTATGTGGACGCCGATTTCGCCGGAGAGCGAGATGCAAAATCCACGTCCGGAGGATTCTTGATTTTGAGTGGTCCGCACACGCATTTTCCGCTTGCGTGGGTGTCCAAAAGGCAGACATCGGTCTCCCGATCAACGACCGAGGCGGAGATTGTATCTCTCGCATACTCCCTTTATCAGGAGGCGCTCCCTGCGCTTAGCTTGTGGGAGCTGATCTTGGACCGACCATTCCATCTCAAGATCCACGAGGACAATCAGGCGACTATCCTCGTAGCAAGGAAAGGTTTCTCATCCAAGCTACGCTGTGTCCAGCGAACGCACAAGGTGAACCTCGCGTGCATCGCAGAGCAGCTTGAAAGCGAACACATCTCGATAGAATACGTCCAAACCGACATGCAGTCAGCGGACATCTTCACGAAAGCACTTCCACCCAACAAGTGGGACCATGCCATCCGGTTGCTCGGCATCCGTGTTGACCTTCCAGAGAAGCTTGAAGACGTTCGTGAGAGTAGAGCCGCTAAAGCAGCTGCCTAGTGCGCTGCAGCATGTCCGCAAAATTTCCAAAAGTGTGCAAAGTGCCTGGGTGATGCTTGAATAACTTGTGTCAGTCGTTGTGATGTAAACTTGACTTCAAGTTGGCGTGGTAATGCGCCCAAGACACTCCCTCAGTGCCCTTAATGAGGGGGGAGTCAATTATCACGATGACATTTATGGCCCAGAGGTACATGAGGTAGGTTCTCATGTAGTCAGTTGCATGTTGTACATTCAAGTCTGATTTAATCACTGCTTTGGCTCAAGTGCTGAAAACAGCGCGTTGCACCGCGCTAGCCCCAAGGTTAAGGGAGAGGTCGCAGTCACGGAGGGGTTCGTTCCTTTTAAGGTCCCGGGTTCCCCCGTTGTTGACAAAACTGTGTTTCCCTCTCCTTTGAGTAATAATAGTAGAAATAGTACTGACAACTATAATATATATATATATAATATATATGTATATATATATATATTCAACAAGACAAACGACATCATTGAATAGCGATGGTAGGTGCTCGCCATTTTTGCTGATCTTATCATGCCCGATCTCAGTTTGTCCTTGGTGTGCATCCACCAGTGCCAGTCACACCCGAAGGTCATGTGCTGACTTTGACGATGTTTGCTCGACTTGTAGCTGCTAATCAGGTGGGTTTATGGAGAGTCCCGATGCATTGACCACTGACGTGGAAGTTGAAATTGCCATGGAGGCGGCCTTCCCAGCTACGGCAGGCCGAGCGAAAACAAAACTCGCGTGTCGTGGGAAATCAGCCGTAACTCGACTAAGAAGTTGCATGTCAGCCTACGACATTCTACGCAGGCTTTAGCCTCTGTGCTGCCACTGTTTCGACCGCTGCCCCTGTCGAGCCTTGGTCCCCACCACATGACACGACATGCAGCTTGAGGCTGGCTTGGCAAAAGGCCCTGATGCTACGAAGCACAGCTCAAGGGATTCCTCAAGTGATTCACCGGGCACTCGGACTTTTCAAAGGAGCCATGGCACAGGTCAAATATGATGCTGAGATCAAGAAAATGTGCAAGCAGGCCATCTCGGGCTCCAAGAATGCGGAGGATCAGATCTTGGAGGCCTTCAAGTCATGGGACAAGGACAAGAACGGCTTCATTTCCAAGGATGAGCTGGCGCTGGTCTTAAGCTCCCTCGGCTGTCCCACGAAGCCAGCCGATTTGGAGGCGATGCTGAAGGAAGCAGATTTGGATTGCGATGGCAAAGTCAACTACGAGGAGATGGTTCATTGGCTCTGCCGAGCGCCTCATTTGGAGCAATACTTCCTGCTGTCCCTGGACATCTTCAAACGCAACTTTAAAGACATCGATGCCGAGGTTTTGAACGTGCAGCGAGAGATGATAAGGCTGCAGGAAGAGTACGATGAACGCCCTGAAGACCAGGATGAGACGGCTGCCGTGAAAAAATGTCTTGAGGTCATTGGGAAATTGTTGCACAAGATGGATGAAGTACAAAAAACCACGCAGAAACGGATTGACGATGAGCTGACGCCGGTGATCAAAAGAAGCTTCAAATACCATGACAAGGACAACAGCGGCACCCTAACCCAAGATGAAGGCATCATCTTCTTCAGCAACTTCATGGCTCTTTGGGAGCCCTTTGGTGAGTTGATGTCGGAGCTGAATTGTGCGCAGGTGGCCATGCTGGACCGGGAGGATTCAGAAGCAGAGGACCTAGACGATACCAAGCATTTGGCCATGGAGAAGGTGAAATTGGTGACGCCCGACAAGCTGCATGCGGCCTTCAAGAAGAAATATGCCGTCCTGCGAGCAGAGCATGTGAAAAATCGAGATCAGCACCAGAAGGATGCCTGGGAGTTGCTGGCCGGCAAGGATGGCATGACTGAAGCTTCAGTCGTAGAAGCCCTGCTGCATGGCCACGAGATGAACTCGCAGTTCCTGCAAGCCATGGGCTTGAGAGTCGAAGATGTGATGAAGGCTGCCGAACCCACCTGCAAAATGTTGCAAGAATGTGTGGAAAATATAAAGCAGTCAGATGCTTTGCAGGCGACCATGGGTGAGATGGACCAAGCTGTGAAGGCGATGAATTCACTGGTCTTCGACTTAGACCCTGCCATGCCCATCGTGGGGGACCCGGCAGGAGACCTTGGAAACTGCCAGATGCAGTGATCGCGGTGTCTTGTGACGTGTTTGCCGGCATGGTGTTTCACCTTCAGGCCACCGAAGGTGTGTTGGCATATGGTGCGAAGCGTGGCGCAAAGCATCGCCAATGGCAAAGCCATCAAGGAAAAAGAAGGCCCCTGCAAGGAGAAGCTTTTGATTCTGCAGTAGGCACTGCGGCATGCGATATCGCCATTCGCCTTGGTCCCCGGAACGGGATGATGTTATTTGTTTCATTCAACATGGCACTGGGTTGTTCATGGTATGTCTAACTAACCCCTAGCCAACAACCCCCTCCCAAGTTAATTTGACTGGGGCTAAAACAGGTAACGGAACGGCACCTGTGGGCCGCCAGCACTGTTGACAGGTCTTTCAAGGATTTCTGAACGTCTCTTGAAAGCAAACCACAAAAAACGCAGGGCTTTGACAATGCTACAAAACCGTCCTTGCGCGCCCAAAATGGCATCGGGCAGCGTTTCGTCTAGGCGAAACGCCTGTTCTGACAAGAAGGCTGATGCAAACTTTCGTTCTACTTCCACAAGCCCACTTCTTGTGAGTGTTTGTCGGCACTTGAGCTTGGGTTCTTACCATCTGTGGGTATGGATGCAGTGAGGGGCTGGTGCACTTGAGCGTGGGTTTAAACCATCTGTGGGTATGAGCGGGTGCATTTGAGCGTGCGTTCTTCTGTGGGCATGGATGCATTGGTTGTTATTATTTGTGACATGGATACGTTGAGGAGTAGGTGCACGGGAGTATGGGTCTTACCAGCTGTGGGCATGGATGTATTGAGGAGTGGGCGCACTTGAGCTGGCTTTAGACCATCTCTGGGTATGAGTGTTGGTTCTTACCATCTGAGGGAATGGATGCATTGAATCATGGGTGCAGAGGAGCGTGGGTTCGCGCTTATAGGTTGTTTGGCATAATTGGTCAAATTTGAACCCAATCTAGTCGTTATGTTTGTTGTGTTCGTTATGATTTGTTCGCTTTACAGGGTTAAAACTACTTAGTCGGAGCCGATATATGGGCAATACCGACACTTATAACTACACCCACAAATTTATTATGATGAAGAATTATGGGAATATTAAATTTGGCAAATAATGATTATTTCGCAATTAATATATGTTATTTATATAATATATGTTGTTTATTATTTGATTTTATTTGTCATAGATGATTTTTGATTATAGATAGAATGATTTTATATTGATTTAAATAATTTTATATTTTTAAATGGTTTAATTTTATATTTTGAAATTATTTATGAAAAATTATTAATATTTGGAATTATTTTGGTATATTATAAAATATAGTTTTAATATAATATTATATATTATGAATTAATTGGTTTTGTGTTTATGTGTTTTTGTTTTTTATTTGTTTGTTTGTGATTTTTTATTTCTTGGGTTGTTTTGGTTTGTGATTGTTTGTCTTTATATGTTTGTATTTGTTATTTGTTTTTATTTTTATATTATTTTTTTTTATATGGTTTTATTTATTTTTGTATATTTATTTTTATTTATTTGAGAATATTTATATATGTTTTATTTTTATTTTTTTAATTGATTATATGTATTTTTGTGGGTCGATGCAGAAAGATGATATATTTTAGTGTTGTTATGTTATATTTTTCGTTTTTTAGATTTATATTTTTTTTGTTTTTTTTTTTGTTTGTTTTGTTTTGTTTTTCGTTTTTGTTATTATTTTTTATTTTTTTTCTTGTTTGCTTTTTGTTTTTACTCTTTCTTTTTTTTTCTTTTCTTTTATTCTCTTTGCTTTTATTTTTCTTTTGTTCTTTTTCTCTTTCTTTTTTTTTTTTATTTATTTTTCTTTCTGTGTTTTTCTCTTTCTTTTTTTCTTTTTTTTGCTTTTGTCTTTTTTTCTTCTTTTCTCTTATTGGTATTGTTATTGATGGAATTAATTTATATTTTTTAATATATATTTAAATACTATAATAGATTAATATTTGTTAAATAGATATATATTAATTTTGATTTATTCGAATTATTAATATTGAATTTAAATAGAATATATTATATATTAAATCCTTAATATAATATGGGAAATAGAATAACTATTAATTATACTAATTATTGGATTATTATTTATATTTATTTATTTGTTTTTTATAACATTTAGTTTTTATTATAATTTTAATTTAAATAATATTTAAATTAATTTAATTAAATGTTTTTTAATCTTAAGTTAGCCTTCCTATTCGTTATTATCTCGAGATTTCTCTTTCCTAACCTCTTCTTTACCACCACAGCCACTCTCACTTAATCTCGCTAAACTTTTTTTTATTTGCCTAAAACCCTCTCGTATAAACCTCCAATTAATATATTTCCATTTTTTTGTATATTTTTTATATTCCCGCTTATGATTTCTCATAATGAAAAATAATAATTATATCTATGGGGAATGGAATAATTATTCTTTTATTTCAGTATTTGTTCATAAATCAGCCGAAATTAACCAGAATTACGGAAATTAGCCGGCGTCAACGCCCAGCTCGGCACTAGTCCGGCGCCAACTCGGCGCCGCTTCGGCGCTAGCTCGGCCAGGGCAAGCGTGACTAGCCGGGCTAGGATGGGGCTATCAATTAGCAAATAATTATCTGTCTAGGTCAACAAAATTCGTCTTAGAATATTGATTGTTTTAACCAGGTTGTTTGGGATAATTGGTTAAATTTGAACCCAATCTAGTCGTTATATTTGGCATGTTCGTTATGATTTATTCGCTCTATAGGGTTAAAATTACTTAGTCGGAGCCGATACATGGGCAATACCGACACTTATGATTACACCTACAAATCTATTGTGATGAAGAATCATGGGAATATTAAATTTGGCAAATAATAATTATTATAATTTTGTAGTTCAAATTTAATATGTAAAGTATATTTCCGTAACTCCAGCTCGAAAATCACGAAATTCATTTCTTTAGCTTTAACTCTAAAATCGCAACTTTGTAATATAAATCTAATATGCGAAGTACATTTCCATAACTCTAGCTCGAAAATCGCAACTTTGTAAAAAAAAAAAATAAAGAAAGAACAACACAATATACGAAATATATTTCCGCAGCTCCAGCTCGAAATTCGCAACTTTATAGTACAAGTCAAGTACGCGAAATACATCAAAGTATACTATATATCTCCAGCTCGAAAATCATAATTTTGTAGTATAAGTCTAGTATAAAAAATATATTTCTGTATCTCCAACTCGAAAATAGTAATTTTATATTACAAGTCTAGTGCTCAAAGTACATTTCCGCAGCTCCAGCTCGAAAAGCACAACTTTGTAGTACAAATTTAGTATATGAAATATACTTCCGCAACTTGAAAATCGCAATTTTGTAGTACAAGTTTCGTAGACGAAGAACACTTTCGTAGGTCCAACTCGAAAGTCATAATTTTGTAATATAAATCTAATATGCGAAATACGCTTCCGCAGCTCCGGCTCGAAAATCACAACTTTGTAATACAAATCGTATATTTCCATACCTCCAGCTCGAAATTCGCAATTTTGTAGTAAAAATCTAGTATACGAAATACATTTCCGCAGCTCCAGCTCGAAAATCGCAATTTTGTAATACAAATCCATTACACGAAACACACTTCCACAACTCCAGCTCGAAAATCGCAATTTTGTAGCATATATCTAATACACGAAATATATTTCCATATCTCCAACTCGGAAAACACAATTTAATAATAAAAAACAATAAAATCGAAATTTTATAATACAAATCAAATATACGAAAAAAATTTTCATAATGAGCAACACGACCCCTAATACCATAAAAAATTGCTATTTCAAATCTAATATACAAAAATATTTTTATAATTCCAATTCAAAAATCACAATTTTAAAATACAAATTTAATATACAAAATATACTTCCATATCTCCAACTAAAAAAATGCAATTTTGTAATATAAATCTAATATACAAAATATATATTCATAATTCCAATTCACAAACCACAATTTAAATATATAAAAAATAATATACAAAATATATATTCGTATCTCCAATTCAAAAATCATAATTCTATAATCATAACCTTGCAATACAAAGTTAATATACAAAAAATCTTTTCATATCTTCAATTCAAAAACCATAATTACAATTTAAAAATCATAAAATAAATTTCAATTCGAAAATCATAATTTTAAAATACAAATATATTATACAAACATATATTAATTAAGGATTATCGTTTTTATTTTTATTTAGTTTTTTATCGTTTTCCATAAATTTAATATATAATACACAAAATATACCCCCCACCTAAATAAAACAATATTTATATATTTTATTATATAACTAATTTTATTTATTTTTTAAAATTACAAACACAACAAAATAATCTAAAAAAACAAAAAACTTTGAGATACGAGAATGGATTCTTTGCCTCTTCTTGAATTCAAATGTCGATGTCTTCCTCAACCTACGCTGGATGCAGATTAGCAAATAGCAGAATAGCAAAAGTACCAGAAGGTTTTTGGGAGATTTTGTGTGGTCTGGGTCTGGTGGCCTGCTGACACGATGTGCTGTATGCTGAGATGACTTGCTGCCTCGGTGAACACACAGGGACGTGACGATTACGCAAAATAGAGGTCATCTTGGGGCTGTTGGTCAGAAGGCCAAGGTCTTCTTGCACCATGTTTGCCTGTTGTTCTCCCTCCCTTAGGCAGTTCAGTTCCGTAGGAGGCTAAGTTTAGAATGTTCGGCTTACCTTCTCCGTCGGTGCTCTCTTCCCGCCTCGTCCACTTTTCGGCGCTGTCGCAGCTCTGCACCAGCTGCCTCCCGCCAGCTGCAACGTGGTGGTGTGGGCGGTGGTGGGTGGTGGTGGTGGGTGGTGGTGGGTGGTGGTGGGTGGTGGTGGTGGGTGGTGGTGGGTGTTGTTGTTGCTGTTGTCGTTGATCGGTTGGGTGGTTGGTTGGGTGGTTGTTTGGGTGGTTGTTTGGGTGGTTGTTTGCTTGGTTGCGTGGGAGGGGGGTGGTTGGGTGGTGGGTGGGTTGGTTGGTGGGTTGGTGGGTTGGTGGGTGGGTGGTTGGGTGCCTGCTTTGTTGATGACATGTGTGTGTTTGTGTGTGTGTGTGTGTGCGTGTCCTCTCTCTCATATTCTGTTGTGTTGTATTAGGCACAGAAGGGGAGCCGATTCTTGGTGAGCCGATTTGAGCGTCTCTGTAGGAGGCAGGGCCTCCGACACTACTGGCTGCGCTTTAGAACGCACATGTCCGAACCTGCCTGCCTTGCCTTCAAAAACACATGCCCGATCGGTTTGGATACAGCACCTTTCAGTTGTGCACAAGCTGAACAAGTCTATGTAGTTGTCCGATTCAGCGGAATGATTTGATGGTGCTTGTGTTTGGCACAGGAAAGACCCCCGTTTGAACAAGGACCAAAGTGGGAACCCCTGACAGATCCTAGAGCTCTATTAATGAATATGCGCATAACAATGATTCCCCAAGGAACATTCATCATGGTTGGAGGGGTGGTCTTTCTGATCAGGGGTGACTGTTGGAATTGTCAATTATTGAAGCACTGCAGCCTTGATGATCGAAACTGCGTCTGAATGCAAATAGTTCGCGGGGGGGTTCATGGCTGATGCCATCACGCTTTCCCAAGACGTCCATACACAAGTTCCTATAACATCCAAAAGCACTGCGCATGGCTAGCCATCGACGTGGTCTGAGGTTTGCCAATCAGAACATTCAGCCACGGCTTGCCACCGTGCAAGAAAGACACAGCTGGCCTGAGAGTCCCTCGCCACGCTTGAGGACGAGCCCAGAACCTCGTGCACACATCAAGGCCAAAATCAACGTGCTGGGCATTGATGCTCACCTTGAGTATTTCAACAACAAGTTCAAGTTCAAGTCGGTCTTGCACAAATTAAGTGGTCCTTGTTCAAAGCAACTTGGATGTCAAGTTTGGTGATTAAGGATGGTCCGAGTCTCAGCACCATTTCGACTGCCATGTGGAGCCGCCAGTCACAGTCACTTCAAATATTGCATTGCTGCCTGCAAGCCTTCATACTTTCACTTGACAATTCCAACGAGTGTACTGGATGGGAAGGCATGGTCTACCAGAACTGAATCCGATTTCCACGCCTTCATCTCCACCTTCTCCTTGAGCTCATTGATCTTTTCGTCCACCTCTCCATCTTTTCGCGAATGCTTGTTGCGGCATATCTGCTTGCTTCCCCATGCCTTCAGCACCATGCTGCGCAAAAGGCTAAGCCCCGTGAACGACAGCAAGTAGTCGGCGAAAAACTGGAAGGCAAAGTTTCAAGGTTGGCATCCACTGAATAGATCACAACTTGACTGATCGCCCTATGAGACCTCCAAACAGGCCGGCATCCACCAAGATCTCGATCATTCCTCCCAGCCAGGATTGCATGTCTGAGTAATGCGGCATCTGCACCTGGCAAAGCGATTGCAAAGAAGGCACGGAGAAAGAGAGTGAGAGACTGCGAGCGAGCGACCTTCATGGGCATGGACAGGAAATGAGGCATTCACACGCCGGTCTTCCAAAAACTAAGTTGGCCGACATCATGCCAGTCAGCTTTTCGGAGGAGCACGCATGCACAAAACGGACTCTGCAGGGCAGCCACTGTGAATCATCCGTCACAGGAGCCAAGTCAGCTTTGTACATTCTGCCTTGTCCATTCAAAACAAGTGAAACCCACGCAGCTAAAGCATGCAGCCATGCAAAGAACACTACAACTAAATAAACTAAATTGTCTTTGGCAAACAGTCAAGTTGTCCTAACAAACAAAGGGGCTGAAAAGCACCAGAAACGTGAGCATATCCTCGATGCTGATTCCGCCGGTGCTCGCACACCAGAAACATGCGCGGTGAGACAATGCAACCGGCACTCCATGCAAGGGAAGTTGGGCTGAACAAGAGATGGTTTATCCACACTGTCCGGTACAGATCAAATATGACCCTCGCAGCTGAGTGCATGAATTGACGGTCCCTTACGACCCAGGTCCATCCTACCTAGCTGAAAATCCTAAATGCAAACTCCATCCTAATGTCAATCCTTCACATTCTCGAGTCAACTATTGAATTCCACGGCCTGCAAAGTGTCAGGGGAAGTCAGCATGACCCGCTCCAAGATAGACATGAACTTGAGTCTCTTTCAAGCCCACTGGCCCCTTTGCCACCATTTTTGAGTATCTTCATGCATTTTTGAATGGATCTTGGGTTGCTTTGCAAGAAGCCTGGGGAAGGCAACCAACAACCCTGCCTCTAGCTGAAATAGCTCTGTTCACAGGCCACCAGCTTAGCCACCAACGGCGCCAAGGAGTTGACGTCGTCTGACCTGCCGAGTAGACGTTGGAACAACTCAGTCCAACCACTGGGCCCCTGCGTTGCATTGGATTCGAAATCATCTTTTTGACGGTGTGGAGTCCCCCGCCCAGCTTCACGAAGCCGGAATCCCCAACCTCGCTTTTCGGAGGGTCTTTTCATCTCAACCGCCCAATCCAGGCAGGGCTGGCCCTCCATCCCCAGCTCCAACGAAAGCCTTCAGGAGACACATCTCCACAAAATCGACACAGAAGCACGTGTAAGGGGAGATCCACTGCTTTTGGTTATGGATTGTTCCAAGCAGGATCTGAAGGAGCTGCTGCTGCGCCTCGTCGATGTCTTCGGGAAGGAACATTGAGGAGTCTCTTGGCCTGCAAACAGCCACTGCACTTACGGGAGCAGGAGAATAACACCCCCATTTGCAGCGCACCATGACACCGGCGAGCCGGCCAAACTGTTGACCTGAGCAAAGCGTCGGCAAGGGCAGTCTGTCATTGCCGAAGGAGGCTTTGATTGCACTTGCTCTACTCAAGCCTTCTTGTGGAATCCACTGGCCTTGCTGAGGAGTGCACAGCAGAGTCATCTTTTGTGAGGCTCTTGTACAACTTCTGACACAACCATCAAGCAGCTGACTTTCAAGCCGCATGTGGACACGATTCAATGCACAAGGTCTGCTCAGTCCTGGAAGCGCTGAGTCCCCATTCTCGCCTGAGCCCAATGCCAAGCTGCGAGTTCCCAATAAGAGCCCTTGGACCCTGCCCTTGGACCCTACTTATCAGCTGCTTAGGGACTGCAAGCTGTATGAGCTTGATGCGGCTACACTGGCTTCTGCAGCGGCTGCTTGATTTACCAAGGCATGCCCAACGCAGCTTGAAGTTCTGGGGCCCAGCCTCCAAACAGGCACGGATGCCTTCAATGCGATCTCCGATGCCTAAGAGTAACTTGGAAGCACTGCGCTCAAAACACGCATGCAAAACCATGGCGTGTCTGAGCCATTAGCTCACACTCTTTTTGGAGTCATCGAGACTGATGACATTCTTTGAACCTGTCCAAGCTTGCCCGAGAAGAAGGCCGCAGCAGTTTGCTTTTTCTTCTGGCAATCTCCCACAAATTGGGAGGCTGCTGTTCCCCGCGCCAAGTTTGGGGAAGGGGTGGGGAAGCAGCAGCAGCAGCAGCAGCAGCAGCAGCAGCAGCAGCAGCAGCAGCAGCAGCAGCAGCAGCAGCAGCAGCAGCAGCAGCAGTTCAAGTTCTACCAATGACAACCATCTTGGTGTGAGTCTTGGTGTGTCTTGTCCAGGCCTGTATCCTCCACGACCTGCAACAGGGCGCATTCACTCTGACAAAACGACAGCTGCAACGGGAATTGCTCACGACAAAGTCAGAACAACCTGGTATGCCCCTCTCTGTCACATTGACCAGAGTGCAGTGTCATTGATTTCGTGCCGCGGTGAAATCGCTTCGCCAGTGGTGACATTGCTGCGATCATTTCAGTCTGGGCTTAGCCAAAGCAACAGCTTCGCGCATGAAGCCAAGGCCTCGAGCTTGCTTGAGCCTCGGGCTCGCTCAGCCCCAGAAGCATTTCGCAAGTCCAAGGGCAAACGCATCGTTCTGGGCTCCCGCGCAGAGCTGCGCCTGGACATCAGTCGTGTTTGCAAGACTCAGACCTATCCAATTATCAAAATGAGGGCGGTTCAACAAATTGAGCGTCAAACCACCACTCAGAATCCTCACGGAGTCTGAAAGAAGCTAACAAAACAAGACAGTGCATGATACTGCTTTTTCTGATACATCAAGTCCCAGCATCTGATCCATAACAAATCATGGTCATGAGTTCGGCACGCTCCGTGAGAGCAACTGGCCTTTCTTTCGTCTTTACCGTCGGCTCTCTGCCGCGGGCTGGCCTTGCAGAAGCAAAGGCTTCACACAAAGGCCCCCCCGATCCAACCAGCAGTTGACCTGCCAACCTGACACGGGCCCGCGTTCCCTGCCTGGGCAGGGCCACAGACTCGATGCACCTGCGGGATGAACAAACCTTTCTCGTTTGGCGCAGGTACCATGGCTCCAGAGACTTCCAATACTGAATCTCGGCCTCTGTGGCATCTGCAGTGCCGCCAACATCTGCAGGCCCAGGTGTCTCAGCAGCCTGACAGCTTTTGCGCAAGAATCAAGTGCCAGCGACAACATGCATGTCATGCACATCGACTCCACAGAAACAGGTGAATGTCTGAGTCACTTTTGAAGGGGCCCGCCTCCATTTGGTCTTTGCGAATCCTTGGCCAAATCCAGCATTCGACAACACTTGGCGCGCTAAGGCCAGGGCCGCTCCAAAGATCTCCTCAGAAGGAGCTATGCTTACTGCGCGGGCAAAATCACACTGCCACACGCAGAATTCGCTCCTCGTTTCTGGCTCAGCCGGCTCGGCCGGCTCGGGCTCAGGCGGCTCGGGCGCTGCTGCTGTTAGACCCGATGAGACTGTCGTCGACCCGGGGTCGTCTTCCACAGTTATGACAGGAAATCCCGGGCAGTAGATCTCTGTCCTGCGCATCGACGCTGCGCCCGAGAGCAAGCATACTCGCGGGACGCTCCTCCATTCCTGCCGCGGCCTCATGCAACTTTCTGCAGGCAACGGTATGATGCAACCAGCAAGCCTTCACACTGAACACAATGGCAAGGAGGGATACGCTTCAAATGACCCCGACTGGGCATGACTCTTCTCACTTCGTTCAATTCGTTCAAGGCGCTGGGACAGCCGTGGCTTCCGCGGTGGTGATTTGGCTTCAGGAGACCGCGAACAACTTCCGCGCGCCGAAGTTGTCTCCCGGGACCTTGGCCACGTGGATTGGAGGCCCTCATGCTGCGTTGTTGCAAAGCCTGGTCAAAACATGGCTGGCCTTGGATGATTTGGATTTCCATTTGCGCAAGCTTGGGAGCTACCATTTGGACAGCCTCCCATGGTTGCAATCGTTCCGATCAGGCCTTCTTCCAACGGTCCTTGAAGGCACCGGGACTCCTTCTCCTTTGATTGAACCACCCTCCCATGAAGCTTCTTCATGGATTCCGGTGGCCCAGACATGCACGGCGGCAAGTCCACAGGCTCGCCCACATCTACGTTTCCAAACAATGGACTCAAGCCCAAAATTATAATGTCTTTCCATGAGCCTAGCTCCTGTGGTGTTCGCTGCCCTTCTGCAAGAAATGCCTAAATTAGAAGCCGAAGAGTCCGGGAAGGGACAGTGCGGAAGTGAACAGGGGACATCATCGTTTGATCAGCTTCCAGCCCCAACGCTTTCCGCCATGAAAAGAAAACAATTTCGGCCGCTGAGTAAAGGTGAGCCACGTGGACGGCGAGGGGATGGTGATATGAAAGCTCCCTATCCAGCCAGAACCTGATCACAGCTGCAGCTTTGAGGCTCATCCACAGGGCTATCAGGAGTCTCGGACACCTCAGGTCATCGATGGTCAGAGGGACGTCTCTCCAGAAGTGCTGCCGTTCAAACGCCTTCCCACCCCCCCTCACAGGTGCAAAACCCAGCAGGTGAGAGCTCAAGTGGATCGGGACTGCCAGCAGCACATCCCACACATTTGGCTAGCTGTGAAGATTGCCTATGGCCGTGGTAAAAAGCAAAACAGCTGGTGCTTGGACTCAACTGGGTAAGTACAGCAAGAGTTGCATAATCCATGTTTCGTGGTTGGTAGGAGCCGCTCAACTAAAGTTATAAAACAAGCACTCAGCACTCACTCACTCACTCACCCACCCGACCGCCCGCCCACTCACTCACTCACTCACTCACGCACTCGCTCGCTCGCTCGCTCGCTCTCTCTCTCTCTCCCTCCCTCCCTCCCTCCCTCCCTCCCTCCCTCCCTCCCCTCCTCCCTCCCTCCCCCTCCCCCCTCCCCTCCCTCCCTCCCTCCCTCCCTCCCTCCCTCCCTCCCTCCCTCCCCTCCCCCTCCCTCCCTCCCTCCCTCCTCCCTCCCACTCTCACAGCTGACTGAGCCGAGCACAGGAACATTGAAGGAGTCCCTCGTCTCTCCCAGTGATGGCTCCTTCAGACTTTGATATCAAACACACTCTTGATTGACCCCTAAGTCTTACACAGCTGAATTGCTGGGCATGTTTGGGCACGTTGCAGCCTGCATTCGCAGGTATATCCCCCAAGTGTCCTCCTGGATTGGACTTTGCGAAGAGTCGCCCATGGCGCCTGGCATATCTTTGCATTGTTCATCGGCTCATGAAACAACTTGAATATATATATATATATGTATATATGCATGTATATATATATGTATATATGCATGTATAAATATATATGTATATATGTACGTGCGTGCGTATGTATGAATCATTCATCCATCCATCCATCCATCCATGCATCCATGCATCCATGCATCCATGCATCCATGCATCCATGCATCCATGTGTCCATGCATCCATGCATCCATGCAGCCATGCATCCTTGCATTCATGCAACCATGCATCGATGCATCCTTTCACATACATATAGGCATACATACATGCCTGCACGCATATTCACATGTCTGAATGCATACATTACATTACATTACATTACATTACATTACATTACATTACATTACATTACATTACATTACATTACATTACATTACATTGCATTGCATTGCATTACATACACATATCCATACATACATACATACATACAATCATACATACGTACATTAATTACATACATACATACATACATTCATTCATACATACATACATACATTAATACATACACACATACATACATACATACATACATACACACATACATACATTACATACATACATTACATACATACATACATACATACATACATACATACATACATACATACATACATACATACATACATACACACGGTACATTACATTACATTACATTACATACATACATACGTACATACATACATTACATACATACATACATACATGCATGCATGCTTACTTACATTACATTACATTACATTACATTACATTACATTACATTACATTACATTACAAACATACATACTTATATATTCCCACATTAATTTACATTGCATTACGTTACATTAGATTACACTACACGACATTACACTACACTACATTACATACATACATAGATTACATTACAGACATTACATTCATTGCAAACAGTACACACATTACATACATTACATACATTACATACATTACATACATTACATGCATTACATACATTACATACATTACATACATTAGATACATTACATACATTGCATTACATTACATACATTACATTACATTACATACATTGCATCACATCACATTACATCACACTACAATACACTACATTACATACACTCATACATACATACATTACATCACATCACATTGCATTGCATACATGCATACATACACACATACATACAGCCATACACACATACATACGTACGTACGTACAGACATACATATATGCACACATTACATTACATTACAGAACGTTGCGTTGCGATTCGTTGCATTACATTATATTGCATTACATTACATTACATACATACATTTTGCATACTTACCTACGTACATGCGTACATACGTACATACACACATACATTACGCTACATTACGCTACATTACACTGCATTACACTACATTACACTACATTACACTACATTACACTACATTACACTACATTACACTACATTACACTACATTACACTACATCACATACATACATAAATACATTGCTACATGCGTGCATGCATGAATGGTATATACATATTGCAGCCCAGTATGTATGTTATGTATGGTATTTACGGTATGTATGATATTTGTGGTATGTGTGGTATGTATTGTATGTATGGTTGGTATGTATCTATGAATGTATGCATGCATGTATGTATTCATGTATGACCCCTCCCCCCCCCGCTTCATTCTGTGAGATTGAAGCCGGCTTGCTTGAGACTCTGCTTTTGACAAGAGCCTCAAAAGACTGTAGCGCGGGTCTAAAGCCTTTCATTCAAGATTCAAGATTCTTAGGCTCTAATTTCGAGTCTTGAATCCAGTGGCCTCCACGTAAAGGGCTGTAAGGTGGCTTTAAGGCACTGTTGGATTCAAGATTCTCAGGACTCCGATTCTGATTCTTGAATCCAGCAAGGCTGCAAATAGATTTCATTCAAGCGCGCCACTGCATCAAAAACTCGAGATCTGAGAATCTTGAATATTGAACAAACAATCATTTTAACACCGCTTTAATGCTTCTTAAGGGCTTTACAGTCTAGGTTGAACAAATCAAAGCCAATGTTCTGAGGTCTTGAACTTAGCTCAGAAAGATGCTAAAATTTGGTGTGTGGGAAAAAGGGTGACAGTGACTCAAAAGTGTCGTACATACATACTCTTGGGATGTTGTTTGTTTTTTGGTGCTATATGTGTAGAATTATATATGTATATATATGGCTATGATTTTTTTAAGGGGTCTGTAACGCGCGACGCGGCACGAATCTTGTTACGGAGGTCTGTAACGGAGGTCCTTGTTACGCAGGTCTGCAACGGGAAAAACATTTCCTGACAAGCAGAATCAGGAGCACATCAACGCAAGCCAAGCTGCGGCAAAAGCAGGGTCGCTGGCCCGGGCTGGGGTTGGGTCTGTAACGAGGTATGTAACGTAACGAGGCAAAGCAAAGCACAGTACGCAAAGCGCCTCCGCAGCTCCAGCTTGATTGCAGCTATTCAACGCAAGCCAGGCTGCGGCGAAAAGAGGGCAGTCACGTCACTGGTTGTTCATCTGAGGTGTGTAACGAGGGTGTGTAACGAGGGTGTGTAACGAGGGTGTGTAACGAGGGGTGTGTAACGAGCCAGCTGGTCTTGTTACAGAGGTCTGTAACGAGGTCTGTAACGAATGTCCGCCGCGGCTCTGTTACAGACCCCTCAAAAAAATCACTGCCATATATATATATATATGAAGGTGTGCAAGTGTCTATGTTTATATTATAGGCATGTCCCAAAAAGAGCTTGAGAATCTCATCCGGCTCTAATGATCTGTGCTTTTATGATCAGTTGTCAAGCGAGAGCATGTCCTATCTGTCAGCAATTCACAAAGTAAGCCAAGATTGTTGCCCGAAATCTTGCAACGTAACGCAATATGCGCATTGCGGAACCTACTGACGATCATTTCACCAAGGCCTGACCCCTGCCTGGGCTCTCCTTGCCCTTGGCTCGCTGCTCCCGCAGCCACTGGCGAAATGCCTGGGAACGGCAAAAATGCTGCGAGACGGGCATTTGGGATGGCACTTCAGTGCCTGCTCGTTGTCCGATCAACCATGAATGCGGAATGGGATTTTCATGGCAATCAGCCCGAAAGACATTCAGATTGGAACTGAACGTATCGGAATTTGATCAGCTTACCTTGCGTGATTGCTAAGTGTAGCGCTCCTTGCTTAGTGTAGCGCGCCGTGCTTTAAAAGCTATACCAAAAGCAGTAGATCATGCACAAACAGCGCCAGTGCATGAAAGAGAGAGCGTACACCACAACCAAAAGTGCACATTCCCGTCTCTTCTTGTGAGTGTGCTTGAACATTATATCACACATGATGCCCCCACTGGTTAAACAGCGCATCGGTCGCTGGATCCCGACCTGCCTGGCTTTGCCGACTCCTCTCCTCACGCCGGTGCTTGAACTTGGAGTCCTGCAACGTCTCCATGCAACCTTTCGGCCCCTGCGAATGGAACGTTCAGGTTGGTTGGATTTCAAGCTATTGAAGGAAGTCTTCAGCAGCTGACAATAAGTGAATTGCTCATAAATCATCTGCATTACTATAAATGTTCCGTGAGGGTGCTTGCGTAATATATATGTCGTCAACAACACGCTAGGGGAAAGGGACGTCCAAACATCAAGGATAAATCGTGAGCGCCAGAACAAACTGGGCATCGTGGAAAAACAATACATAGTCATCGTCATCGTGTTGATTGGAAGCCCCCCCCCCCGCCCCGCACGTTCAATCTCACTCCATCTCAATCTTGCGACAAGCAGGTGTCGTGATAATTGGTCTGATTTCAGGACAACAACTCTGTCTTCCAACTGCGACTCCTCCACCTGCGGGGAGCGAGGGGTCAGCGAACAGCTCCTGGCATTGCCTGCCCACGTCGGCTTGCAAGCTTCGATCAGCTCAAAGAATCCTCCAACGAGCCTTGAATGGTTCCTACAAAGATGGGTGGCCGCGTCCTTCTGGGCCGGATATTCTAGTGTTTGTTTCACTTTGGGTAAGGAGCCCCCCCCGGTGCAAAGCGTTGCAGGGCTTGGGGCAACGTTTGGTGGCGGATTTCGCTTTCCCCTGGCTGGACAACTCCAAATTACCCAGGAGTCTTTTGGGACACGCAGTCCAAATGCAAATGGAGCCTGCAGCCTCATCTTGTACAGGCTTCTGAGGCGACCTGCGGATTTGGGCATCGCGAAGTTGCCATGCCCATCAATAAACTCAATGACAAGCGGGGTGGAAACCACCAAGCCAGCCGTTTCCTTGTTTTTTGTACATAAACAAGAGGCCTTAAAAACGCACACGTATTCTCACTGTATCTGGCTAAACATGATCCCAGCAACCGAAAACACATGAACAAAAACAGGACGAGCTGCTTCTATTGCCGCCTCTTTTGGTTTCATTTGGCCTCTGGACCATGCGCATGGCTATTCAACTGGCATGCTTCCAGTTTGTGTCCACACCGTGTGTAATGAAGTTCGTGTACTGCAGTCTCCACACAAGTCATTGCGGGCTCGCGCGGGCAATCCTACTTAGCCTCAATACTTCCAGAACGCAACAAGCCTCAGCCGTCATATGTGGGTAAGCAAAGCCCACGGAGGCAAATGCCTCATCACCATGCTTCAGAAGGCTCATCCCAGGCAGTACATCTGCAACAACACACAATCCAACCCCTTTGTCATATGTTTCCACACCGTCTGTGATGAAGTCCCTGTAGTCTCTACAAAAGTCATCACACATCTCTGCCATTGCATTTGGCCAGGATACTGCAAGTCTATCTCTTCCTATTCCCACCTCTTGCTGTGAACTGGACTGCGGGCCCGCGCGGGCAAACCTAGTCAGCCTCAATGCTTCCAGAACGGAACAAGCCTCAGCCGTCATATGTGGGTAAGCAAAGCCCATGGAGGCAAATGCCTCATCACCATGCTTCAGAAGGCTCATCCCAGGCAGTACATCCGCAATAACACAAAATCCAACCCCCTTCTCATATGTTTCCACACCGTCTGTGATGAAGTCCCTGCAGTCTCTACAAGAGTCATCACACATCTCTGCCATTGCATTCGGCCACGACATTGCAAGTCTATCTCTTCCTGGCCCGCGTGGGCAAACCTAGTCAGCCTCAATGCTTCCAGAACGCAACAAGCCTCAGCCGTCATATGTGGGTAAGCAAAGCCCATGGAGGCAAATGCCTCATCACCATGCTTCAGAAGGCTCATCCCAGGCAGTACATCCGCAACAACACAAAATCCAACCCCCTTCTGTATGTTTGCACACCCTCTGTGATGAAGTCACTGCAGTCTCTACGAAAGTCATCACACATCTCTGCCATTGCATTCGGCCACGACATTGCAAGTCTATCTCTTCCTATTCCCACCTCTTGTTGTGAACTGGACTGCGGGCTCGCGCGGCCAATCCTACTTAGCCTCAGCCGTCATATGTGGGTAAGCAAAGCCCATGGAGGCAAATGCCTCATCACCATGCTTCAGAAAGCTCATCTCAGGCAGTACATCCACAACAACACAAAATCCAACCCCCTTCTCATGTGTTTCCACACCGTCTGTGATGAAGTCCCTGGAGTCTCTACAAAAGCCATCACACATCTCTGCCATTGCATTCGGCCAGGATTTTGCAAGTCTATCTCTTCCTATTCCCACCTCTTGCTGTGAACTGGACTGCGGGCCCGCGCGGGCAAACCTAGTCAGCCTCAATGCTTCCAGAACGCAACAACCCTCAGCCGTCATATGTGGGTAAGCAAAGCCCATGGAGGCAAATGCCTCATCACCATGCTTCAGAAGGCTCATCCCAGGCAGTACATCCGCAACAACACAAAATCCAACCCCCTTCTCATATGTTTGCACACCGTCTGTGATGAAGTCCCTGCAGTCTCTACGAAAGTCATCACACATCTCTGCCATTGCATTCGGCCACGACATTGCAAGTCTATCTCTTCCTGGCCCGCGTGGGCAAACCTAGTCAGCCTCAATGCTTTCAAAACGCAGCAAGCCTCAGCCGTCATATGTGGGTAAGCAAAGCCCATGGAGGCAAATGCCTCATCACCATGCTTCAGAAGGCTCAGCCCAGGCAGTACATCCGCAACAACACAAAATCCAACCCCCTTCTCATGTGTTTGCACACCGTCTGTGATGAAGTCCCTGGAGTCTCTACGAAAGTCATCACACATCTCTGCCATTGCACTCGGCCACGACATTGCAAGTCTATCTCTTCCTGGCCCGCGTGGGCAAACCTAGTCAGCCTCAATGCTTCCAGAACGCAACAAGCCTCAGCCGTCATATGTGGGTAAGCAAAGCCCATGGAGGCAAATGCCTCATCACCATGCTTCAGAAGGCTCAGCCCAGGCAGTACATCCGCAACAACACAAAATCCAACCCCCTTCTCATATGTTTGCACACCGTCTGTGATGAAGTCCCTGGAGTCTCTACGAAAGTCATCACACATCTCTGCCATTGCACTCGGCCACGACATTGCAAGTCTATCTCTTCCTGGCCCGCGTGGGCAAACCTAGTCAGCCTCAATGCTTTCAAAACGCAACAAGCCTCAGCCGTCATATGTGGGTAAGCAAAACCCATGGAGGCAAATGCCTCATCACCATGCTTCAGAAGGCTCATCCCAGGCAGTACACCCGCAACAACACAAAATCCAACCCTTCTGTATGTTTGCTCACCGTCTGTGATGAAGTCCCTGCAGTCTCTACGAAAGTCATCACACATCTCTGCCATTGCATTCGGCCACGACATTGCAAGTCTATCTCTTCCTGGCCCGCGTGGGCAAACCTAGTCAGCCTCAATGCTTCCAGAACGCAACAAGCCTCAGCCGTCATATGTGGGTAAGCAAAGCCCACGGAGGCAAATGCCTCATCACCATGCTTCAGAAGGCTCATCCCAGGCAGTACATCCGCAACAACACAAAATCCAACCCCCTTTGTCTGTGATGAAGTTTCTGCAGTTAAAGTCTCTGCAACGGGGCAGTGTCCATTTCTGCTAACTCCCCACACATTGCTGCCGGCATTCCACATCAATCAGCATGATTCCCTTGCTGCAGCATTGTAAACATCATGGAACATCTAACAAGTAAGTTCACAGAAAGGAAACCAGCAACTTGAAGGAAATCACAGTATGCGCTTCTTGCCCTGGCTTGGTCTGCTCCTAAAGTGCCACATCTACACATGAGCTGAGCCCATGACTAATGGTCACGTGGCAATCGGTTCTTCACATAGACTGCACATGCCACACATGCAGTGCTCGGAGTTGCAGCGCCTGTTGAAACATCTCTCCACCACCCCACCTTATCTACCATGTCAGCTCTGTTTTTTGGAGCTTGAATTGCGGATACATGCTGTTGTACAAACCCTAAGAGCCTACAAGCTTCTAGCCAAGTCTGGTCACCCTTGTTGCTTCCCTTTCCAAAATCTTCTACTCCACAACAGTGGCGGACATGGACCCAAAGCTGCATCACCTTGTTTTGAGATGCTCAGACATCCCAAAATCTCATGACAATAGTTGGTCAGGAATCACATCCATACTACGGCATTTTGCTGGCAAAGCAAGACCAACATTTGTGTCAACACAGGGAGGCCCCCGACTCCCGACCAACCCGCACTTGCCTCTGAAGTGGCTGTGGCCACGCTTGATGATGGTACGCCTAGCAATGAGAGGAATGCCCATTCCATCAGAAAAAAAGGAGCCCTTGCTGCGGGTGCCTTGGGTCTGGCTGACAGCGGCTGGGCATCTCGGGACGCAGCCCGATCCGTGCGGGAAGCCTGCCGCGCGGAGCTTGGAGGATAGGCTGGCGTGCCAGGCGTGCCGCTTGCTCGCCGCACGTCGGGTCGATGGTCAATGCCCTTGCGATGTGCCCTTGCTGCGATTTCATCCTCTATGACCTTAGGCGCGACTTCCACCGAGTCCAGGATTTGATTCACCTTGGCCCGAACCTTGGTGCGTGGAGAAAATGCAGCTGCTTTGACTGCATTGTTGGCTGCTGCCGCTGCTGCCGCCACCTCTTCTGCAATCTGCTGTGGCCTGGCTGACTCACGGCCAGGTGGATCAAATGCCTTGACAGGCTCCAACTGCATGCCAGGCAAGTCGTAGCTTGGCGGCTGAAGTCTTGGCCGGTTCAACAGTGATGTTGCGCTTGGTCTCCGGTCCGGCTGCTGTCGAAGCATCGCCCGCGTGCAGCGTGAAGCCTCCGGGTACTCGTGGGTCATGTTCTCCGGCAGATTTACATCAGCCCGAACAATGCGATTCACCAAGGCCTGCCAAAAGGCTCAAAGACCTGTCACTGTGAGCGACAAATACATGAGCCGGCCTCCAAATTGGGTGCTGTGCCAAAGGGTGGCCGCAAGGCCATCATTTCGTAGAGGACGCAACCCAATGACCTCGTGCCAACCACAATTTCTAAACCTTGCGACGTGTCTCAGTACTCGAGTTAAGGCAGGCGCCAAATGTCCGATTTGTACGAGTACGGCCTGCCCTTGCACACCTCCACAGGCAACAAATGTAGTGTCAACACCCAGCTGGAGGGCATTCATGTGAATCAAGGCAACGACCTCTCTCGCCAAGACACAAACAGTCAAACAACTTAAAAGCACACTCTTGCGCGCACACACAACCACGAGCCAGAGTCACACACTCACAAACCAATAAATTACATTTATGTAAAACACACACACAAAGGAAAATCACACACATATACGGACTGCTGTTTTTCTTGTATCGATAGCAGTCCAAATTCCAGGAGACTCGCCAAGGCGAGTAAAACAGTCTCCCACTTACGAGAAGACATGTCCACGCGCTTGGAGAAACGGAGATCGCCCCTGCTCAGTCCGGCGTCTGGATCTCGATGTTCTGACTCAATCACGCCGCCTCCACCTCCTCAAGCGCCAAGTCCTGCTTCTGCATGGCCTGGCACTCTCTGCGTGTCTTGCGGTCTACGCCTGGGCATGCCGTGCTCGTCTTGCAGTGGCATTCAAACCTCAGTCGTACGCTTCTTAAAAGGGTCAAATGGCATGCGATTTGGATCAGCAATCATCCAACCAACATGAAACACTGCACCGTCGAGCATTCTACATTCGGCACTCGCAATGGTGGAGAGTTCACCAAACCCCTCGCTACCCGGGGACTTGGCCAGTCCTCCTCCTCGTCTGCACGCGATCGCCAAGGGCCTGGCAAAATGCACCATGGGCTGTGCGGGCCAATAGGGCCGGTCTCGGATGGTTTCCTTCTCAAGCCTCAGGCTTTCCGGGTTTCTCTGGCATCTCAACCTGCACTTACATGCCTGTACAAACCAAAAGCATCACTGTCAAGGCCCATGAAGGAGAACACCTCACTGAAAAGCAAGTTGCCATGGGCCTTGACAAGCACCCAAACCGGCTTTCTGCCGGCATGCTTGTATGGCGAGGCTGAGCTTTACACGAAAATGCCAGGCTGGCATCGGACACTGTATGAAGCTTGTCCCGGTGCCTTTTTTAGCCTCGCTCCTCTTTGAGGTAGCCACTAGGCAACATATCCGGTGGCAAGCTAAGCAACTAACTACGATGCTCAGAGACACTGCTCTGAGCCTGTAAGCTGGCGTGTACACTTGCCTTGAGCAGGCAGGTCCCTCTCCTACATTGCAGGACAGCCGGATTGACCTTGGATCTTTTCTCAATGCAGCACCTCTTGGCCTATCATCGCGTGATGACAGCAAGCTACTTACTTCGCCATTGATTGAACTTTGGCAACCGAGTGATAACACGCAAAGGCAGACTCGCATTGAGACAGCCTAAGGCAACCAAACTTGTTTGCTGCCAGCAAAGGCCAAAGCCCCCAAACTTAAACCCAAGCTGAGCTGGGACCAAGAAGCGATAGGAGACGCGCCGTGTCATGTCTGGTGGAAGGAACGGAACTTCCACGCCGTCGCTACCCCCGAAGGTCATGCACTGCCTGCACGTGTTCGAGAGCCAAACCCATGTCGTCATGCGGCAATGTCTCTTGCTAACGTAAAACTGGATATGCTGCACCAATAGAATATCCAATGTGACATGTTTTAGTTTTTGTACCATTGGCCGCCGTTGCCAACAGCCAACACTTGTTGAGCAAGCGAACCGCGCTCAAACAAGGTCTGTTCCTCAGTTGCACACTTGCAGGTCAAGTGAGCGGCAAGCCTGGCCTCTCTAGATTCAAGACGCATCGAAATCGGCGCCTTGGTGCACGAAAGATTGGCCCAATGCCACCATGACCTTGCAGCCTCCGATGGAGGAAACACGTTGTCGACACAGAAGTGTCCAAATTTGTACTGGTGAGTGATCAAGTGGGACAGTCAACCTGTACTCCCATCATAGTATGTACGCAACTAAGTCCGATGCATTTGGTCGATCCCCAGCATCAGGAGTGGCTGATCAACGCCCAGGACTGAGAAATCCTCGGTCAAGAGACATAGCCTGGATCAGTCGGCACAGCACCACAAAAAGCATTGCCCCCCAAAAAGCTGTTGCCGATGCCTTCAGCACAGACTCCGAGCCTCGATCCGAGCGACTTTCGACTTGCTTGCCCAGATTCCAATGCGAACTCCACATGGCCAATCTTCACCTCACAGGCCCAGGCCCAAGGCTTAGGCCTGGAAGTTGCTCATCAGCATGCTGCACACGGAAACCGCATGCTCCCCAGGTCCATCGCTGGAAAGCTCCTACATGCTTCGTTTCATGCAACCATGGGGCAGGAACGCCGCGTAGCTTCCCGAGGATTCGCGCGGTTCCAACCCCGGCCGCTATTCCTGCAGATTCAAAGCCAGTCCAAAATGACATTACATTACATGACTTTACATTACATTGCATTACATACATTACATTACATTACATTACACTACACTACACTACATTACATTACATTACTTTACATTACTTTACATTACATTCCACTACATACATTACATTACATTACATTACACTACACTACACTACACTACATCACATTACATTACATTCCATTGCATTACAGTACATTACATTGCATTACATTACATACATACATACATACCTACGTACGTACATTGCATACATACATACATACATACATACATACATACATACATACATACATACATACATTACATACATACATACATACATACATTACATAAATTACATACATACATACAATACAATACAATACATACAATACAATACATACATACATACATACATACATACATACATACATACATACATACATACATACATACATACATACATACATACGTACATACATACATACATACATACATACATACATACATACATACATACATACATACATACATACATACATACATACATACATACATACATACATACATACATACATACATACATACATACATACATACATACATACATACATACATACATACATACATACATACATACATACATACATACATACATACATACATACATACATACATACATACATACATACATACATACATACATACATACATACATACATACATACATACATACATACATACATACATACATACATACATACATACATACATTACATACATACATTACATACATACATACATACATACATACATACATACATACATACATACATACATACATACATACATACATACATACATACATACATACATACATACATACATACATACATACATACATACATACATACATACATACATACATACATACATACATACATACATACATACATACATACATACATACATACATTACATACATACATTACATACATACATACATACATACATACATACATACATACATACATACATACACATACATACATACATACATACATACATACATACATACATACATACATACATACATACATACATACATACATACATACATACATACATACATACATACGCATACATACATACATACATACATACATACATACATTACATACATACATTACATACATACATACATACATACATACATACATACATACATACATACATACATACATACATACATACATACATACATACATACATACATACATACATACATACATACATACATACATACATACATACATACATACATACATACATACATACAAAAATACATACATACATACATACATACATACATACATACATACATACATACATACATACATACATACATACATACATACATACATACATACATACATTACATACATTGAATTACATTACATTACATTACATGACATTACATTGCATTACATGACATTACATGACATGACATTACATTACATTGCATTGCATTACATACATTACATTACATTACATTACACTACGCTACACTACACTATACTACATTACATTACATTACATTGCATTGCATTACATTACATTACATTGCATTGCATTACATTACATACATACATACATACAATAATACATACGTTACATACATACATAGATACATAAATACATACAGTACATACATACATACATACATACATACATACATTGCACTACATACATACATTACAGTACATTACATTACAGTACATTATATCACATTACATTACATTACATACATACATTACATACATACATTACATTACATTACACTACATTACATTACATTACATTACATTACATTACATTACATTACATTACATACATTACATTACATTCCATTGCATTACAGTACATTACATTGCATTACATTACATACATACATACCTACGTACGTACATTGCATACATACATACATACATACATACATACATACATACAAACATACATACATACATACAGACATACATACATACATTACATACGAACATACATACATGCATGCATACATACATACATTGTATACATTGTATACATTGTATACATTGTATACATTGTGTACATACACACGTACACACATACACACATACATACATACATACATACATACATACATACATACATAAGCACATACATACATACATTTCGTTACGTCACGTTCCATTACATTACATTGCATTACATTGCATTACATACATGCATACATACAATACATACATAAATTTCATTCCATTCCACTCCATTACATTACGTTTACATTTCAGTATATTACTTACATGACATGACATGACATGAAACTACATGCATATCTACATACCTACACACACATACATGCATTCATGCATACATACATAACATAACATTTCGTTTAATTTTATTTCACTACATTGCACTACATTACATTACATTACATTATAGTACAGCACAGTACAGTACAGTACAGTACATACATACATTACATACAACCATACAACCATACGTACATACATACAACCATACACATACAAACATACAGACATACAGACATACAGACAGACATGACATGACATGACATGACATGACATGACATGACATCACATGACATGACATGACATGACATTGCATGTATACATACATGCGTGCATACATACATACGTACATACAAACAT